AAGCAGTCTAGGGCGGCACCTATAAAACCTAGTGCTGGTCTTTCTGAGGAATGTCGGTTGTGGACAATGTATAAGCTATAAGCACTAGCAGAAGATACTATGAGATGAAGACAGATTTAGATACCTAAGTCCAACATATAAATAGTTTATGTAAAAGTAAATAGTATTCAACATTTTTTATAGTGTTACATTATGATAAAGTAATCTAATGTTAATAAAGCAATCTGATCTTAGCTTTTCACAGTATGCATATTTAAGTCACATAGTAAACTTTCTGTTGTCTTTTGCTATTTAAGTTACACTGTGAACTTTTTCTTGCCTGTCAAATAATTCCACAAGAACTTGTAACTGCTTTTGCTTATTCTGCCTTCCTTTCCCAATCATGCAGACAACTATTAATAATGCATACTGTACTCTATCACTTAGATCATCTATTGTACCGCTTCTCTCTATGTAAGGAGATATTATTAACTCATCAAACCTTAATAACCTGATTCGACCCCGATACTAACAACTATAAGAGACTGCTTTAACAGGCCCTTGCAGCTCAACTTTAACCTCACTTACTACACTTGTAGGCCTGGCAATTCATCTCTTGTGTTTGAGACATGTATTTCTTAGGAGAAGCCTTACATGACCCAACTTAAAGCAGAATTTAGCCCTAAGGTGCTTAAAGAAGTTATAAAGACTATTATCCTAGTCTAGAATATATTATTACCTAGGGCAGAGAACAATTATACCTTTAGGACTAATCAAGTTAACATAGCTTTACTGCAGATAGATAGTTTATCAACATAGTTATTAATTTTAGTTTTTTTATATTATCAACCCTATTATAGTATAGACCTAATAGTAATGCAGGCTTCTTAGCATTTAGCCTGCAATGTGAAGTCATTACAGTCAGTTATGTATAGTAATAACAACATCTCGTTTAAACCTAAACTGAATCAAACCACACACACACACTTTCAGGTTTTAAGTGTATTATAAGGCTGAAAGTAAATTTTAACTTTAACAATGTTGTATTAGTTTTTGTTTACTTAGATGAAAATTAATTGCACAAAGATGATAGGAGCATAGTTTAAGTTGGGGAAAGCTTTGCAGGTAATTAAAGAATAGTAAGCTTTTTTGTTTTCACTAGTAGTAGTATATGAAAAAGTTATACAGTTAGCAAAGTTATGCCACTAGATCTGTTGTAAATATGATATCACAGCTTAAAAAGGGAAATAAACCCTATTAACTACAACTGCCACAGACTAGGCATCTTATTGAGAGAATATAAATCTAGAGAGAACCTTTATTATAAGAAAATCAGAAAGGATAGAAGAGGTAAAATTAATATGGCCCCAAATTATTAGTTCCTAATTCTGTGTCTACCTTAACTGTCCTCTAAACAATATAGACATGAAGAAGTAATTTTTCAAGGAGATATGTGACTAAGGCAGCATTATTTAGGTTGTAGTAAGTGTAAAAACCTGATAGCATGCTGAATATAGACAGCTTGATTAACTAGATGCATCAAGGTAGAAAGATCAAGAACTCTTTCTTTAGACCTATGACTACAGCTCTATAGGTTAATGTCTTAAAATAATTATCTGCATAATTGGGAAAAGAACACAGAATGAGCAAAAGCAGCTACAAGTTCTTGTGGGATCATTTGACAGGAAGAAAAAGTTTATAGTATGACTTAAATAGTAAAAGACAACAGAAAGTTTACTATGTGACTTCGATATGCACACTGTAAAAAGCCAAGATCAGATCACTTTATTAATATTAGATTACTTCATTATAGTGTAACACTATGGGAAATATCAAACACTGTTTACTTTTAAACAAATTAGTTATGTGTTATACTCAGGTATCTAAATTTGTCTCCATCTCCATCTCCAATCTATTTCCAGCCTTTAGTTTTTAGAAAAAAATGATTTACTAAGTGTTTCTAGTTATGTTAACTTAGAATCTATATAATCATCTATGCCTTGTTCCTTATATGCACACATCTCACTACTTTACTTATCCTTGTTTTAATTTTGTTACTTACCCCATTACACTTAGTTCCTATTCTATTACTTCTTATATAGGTCATTCTATTCTTAAAAACCTTAGACCAAGATGCCATTTAGGATCTAAAGCATTAAGGAACTAAGATCTTGATCTTCTCATAGTTTATTAAACTTGTTGTCAGTATCTTTAGACTTCTTGAGTGCAGCAGAAGTAATATAACACCTAGAAATATTATAAGTTTTTGTAAGAAAAAAGATATATTTACATTATACCTGCCAATAACATACACTATAATTACATCATCCTTGGCCAAGCTACTGCCAAAGTTATTGCAAGCCACAACCATATCACCACTCTGAAGTTCAAGAAGACCTGGCATTATGGTTACAGTGTTGCCTCTAATAATAAAGGTTAGCTTGAAATTCAGGGTTATTTTTATCCTAAGTTAAGACCTTAGATTAGGCTAGAAACTTTTCTAAGGCCTTATTTTACCCCCCCCCCCCTATCTACCTATATGGTCCAGTGTGACTTGTGTGATAGAGGCAGATATTAACTATTATTAATGTGTCTAGAAAGAGATACCCACAAAGGCTGGTATGATAGTGAATTGATCACATGACAGAAATCGTGGGAAATCATCAAGGAATAGATGATTTGATGGGCCGGAGTCATTTGGAGTTAATCTAAGTCAGTCTGAGTCATTTGAGAGTTCTTAACAGGCATAGCTTCAATGACTCACATTGAGTCACATTGAGTCACACTAAGTCAGTTGGAGTCAGAGTGAGTTAGTTGGAGTCATTTTATTGATCCAAATATGACAGGAAGTTCTTGTAAGGAAAGGTATGTAAAAAAGGCTAATTTTCCGTAGTAAGTAAGTATTTTCTAGTGCAGAACTTAGTGTTACTTGTGATTTACATAATTAATTGACATCCTTCTGGGCTTAGTCATCTATAATCAATTTGGATTACTTGAGTAGGCATTGGTTAAACTTCCTAAGTCTACTGAAGGACAGTCAGCTAAATTCATTCTGGTAACTTAGTATTGGTACAGATTATAGGATAACGACCTAGTGGATTGCTAACGGAGCAGACTCCAGCTGAGTACTGACCATATAGGTACACAGATTGACTTAAACTTAGGTTTTACAGAGCATGTGTGCAGAGTAACGCCCTAGGAAGTAAGCACGTGGGGAAGTACCAATGGAATTAGGTTATACAGAGAACTTGTGCAGATTAACACCCTAGCAAGTAAGCACGTGGGGAAGCACTTTAGAAACTAGTAATACAGAGAGCTTGAGCTGACCAATACCCTAGTGAGTAAACATGTAGGGAGGCAGCTAGAGATTTAGGCAACATAGACAACTGAACTAGACACTACCCCTTTATAACCATTATACAACCTTCCCCCTATTTTTCCTAAATACACCTCACCTCCCTGTTTCTATACTAGTACTACTGTGCTATTCCTTGAATAAAGTCACTTCTAGAAAGATATAGAGGGAAACTATTTTTCCCTATGAGATCGTGGGCTGTATCAATGGAGAAAGGATGTCTAATAAAGCTTCTGTAGGCTAAGCATAACAATGAGAAGCCAGATGCTAGTGCTCTTGAGGGCTCTGGTGAGGATTTTGATAAATAAATAGTTAAAAATGGTTTTTCTTCTTTAGGAAATAACCCTTAGAAAGCTCTTAGAATCACACCCTAAATAAGGGTAAATAAGTATTTAAGACCCTTTAATTTAAAAGCGACCTTTATTTTAGGTCTTATAATAACACTGACTACACAGACTTGAGGGAATGATCTAAACTACTAACCTCAAAAGCTCTGAAGTCTGTCTAGGGAGGGCTCTGGTGACTCAGTGGTGAGGGTTTTGATGGATAAATAGTTAAAAATGGTTTTTCTTCTTTAGGAAATAACCCTTAGAATCACACCCTAAATAAGAGTAAATAAGTATTTAAGACCCTTTAATTTAAAAGCGACCTTTACTTTAGATCTTATAACAACACTGACTACACAGACTTGAGGGAATGATCTAAACTACTAACCTCAAGAGCTTTGAAGTCTGTCTAGGGGGGATTTGTTAGTCTTGCTTTATCTTCCAGGTGGCCTGGAGACCTGCTTGGGAAGTATTTTGAAGGTACATAAATGACACAAATGCCAAAATTTCAGCTGTCATGCTTAGTATACTATTAATCTCGATATTTGTTGATTCTCCTTGTGGTCACCATTTTAGCCTTGTTTATTTCCATCTCCAAGAATATCTCTCAAGAGAGTTCAACCCTTTATCTCTATTCCTGCCAAGATGTGAATCATATATTTATTCATTTATTACTTTTTAGTACAGCCCTCCGCAGACAAAAAAGGTCAAAATGTACATGATCGGAGTCCTCGCCCTCATAACCGCGAGTCCATCTTCTAGGCGTCACCGCTGAGCCAACTAGATAAGATTAGATGATTGATCCGATCATAAAACATGATCATCTGCTCATCATGACGTGACGTGGCACTTCCATTCTCTTCCCTTCCACTCCATTGCCAACGACGTCGATGACCGTTAGTTTTCCCGGTGTCGGTTATAGCCAACATCGTCCCGGCACGCGCACTTCCCTGCGAGGCTAGCTGCGCGGGCTCGTGGCCGCGCTGGGCCCGACGACTGATCGTTGACGCCCACCACCCGTCGGAGGCCGCGAAGAATGGCGGGACCAGGGTCGCCGTATTTTTAGATCGGGCAACTGGCGCGGCTTCTGCCCGTGCACATCAGGCGGCATGCAACACCATTCGTCGACACGCACGCCTTCTTGAGGCGCCACCGCGCGTCCAACTAGCCAGCGGGCCTCTCGATACTCCGGTTCGCATTCAGATCTTCAGAACCGGCTGGTAGAGCGGCCGCGTGACGCGTTGAGATACCCCCGTGTCCAACCGCGACTGATACCGGTGCGCGCACCCATATATACCGTCCTCCTTCGCTCACTACTGGTAGCACTCTACCTATCCGTCATGAAATTCCTCCGTGCTGCGTTAACTGCGCTTCCATTTGTCCTGCCGGTTCTGGCGGCCAACAGCTTTGCTGGCGCCAACGTACGTTTTTTTTCCACTATCCCGTTCCAAACCTGACTTGTTCTGCGCCATAGAACTACTACATCTGGGCGCTGCCCACCGCCGACCGTATTGCGATCCTCGACGGGATGCAGGCCGCGGGAATGAAGGTCCTGCGAACATGGGTCACGGGCGTGGGTGCGGGGCAGAAGAACAGCAATAACGTCGCTGGCAAGTCCTTCAAGTTGGTGTCGTCGGAACAGGATGCGGGATTGACTTTGCGATTAGTTCCGGACCTCGAGGCGAATGGCATCGGCAAATACGACGACACTGTGTTGAACCATATTGACCAGCTCATGGTCGATGCGCATGCGCGCGGCATCAAGCTCCTTATTGGTACGTGATTGCTTGAACTCGCTGCACCTATCATTTATCTCCGAGTGGAACAGGCATGTACGACCAGAACGCACTTCGCAATAACGACATCTACGCGCGCACCTACGGCGTCAGCGGCTTCTACACCAATCCCGGTCCGTCCATACTTCAAGTTCCGTCAGATAACATATAATTCTAAACTTTGGAGTAGACGCAATCAACGCGTTCAACCAACGCATCACACACATCCTTAACATCCACAAGAACGCGCTGCTGAGGAACCAGGCGTGGTCTTTTCTGGGCGCGTACATCTTCGGGCTCGAGGCGCAGAACGAGCCCATGATTTGGGACCAAAGTCTCTATCTCAGCCATCTTTCGTGGGTCTGCGCGTCTGCGCTGCAGGTGCGTGCTGCTATTCCTGACCAGGCGGAGTGACTGATGAAGAAATTAGATCAGGAATAACGTCGGAGATCGGGTATGCTGTTGTAATGTCAAAGAATGACAACTGATCAAACAAAATATTTAGAATCAGCTCATATTCACGGGCGGTGGGGCGGCAGCGTCCAGCGTCCAGTCCGCATTCTTTGCGAGCTCATGCGCCGTCGACGTCGTGGCCGTGCACGACTACAACGAGTGCGTCTACCCTTGCTACTCTCATGGATCAACATATCAACTCGTTTTAGCGACTACGACTCGTTCATGTCCTCCGCCGTGAGCCAGGCCAAGGCCGCGGGCAAGAAGCTCCTCGTCGAGGAATGGGGCTCGCTCGTCGGCAGCGGGCGGACCGCGAACCTGCAGTCGAATGTGCGAACGGTCGTGTATTCCGTTCGCTACCGAAATTTACTGTTACACAGGTGCAGAAGATAAACAGCTACAAGGTGCCCTGGCTGTACTGGGAGGTCATCAGCAACGCCGACCCGCACCAGGGCGAGGACTACGAGGTATATAAATATATGCGCGGGACTGTTTGTGGTACTGAATGACTGGTGCAGATCCAGGTGAACGGTGCGGACTGGGGCACGCTGTCGAGCGCGTCGCAGAGCACGGCGGGCATATCGGGAGCGGCGTTCGATTTCAGCGCGTCGCTGGCGTTGTGAAGGAGAAATCACCTAGAATAGCACGATGTCTTAGTGTTTGCGATGCGATTACTAAACGACTTGAGTCTTGGCCGTGGCCCGGGCGACCTACCCATGGGTCCGTGGGGAGTATATATACCAGCATAGTAGTGGGACAATGCCAGTGGGACTCGAGTCGGAGTGGGACTTGGTGATGTCACATCAACTGTGTTGGCGACGGCCGTAGTTTTTCGCCTTGGCTACGTCAACGACCCACAGTGCGTCACGGTGCGGTTGGAGATGACAAGCCTAGTCTCCTCAACCCGTCGAAGGCGCCGCGCGCAGTAGCCGCCGTTTACCTTCCGCAGTTCAATGGTGATGAGTCATGGCCCCGAGAAGCGCACGTGCTGTGAACTGAATTCGTAGGCTCTTTGGCTCTCCCCCCACTGGCATACCGACTCGTCCTCAATGCCCGCCGTTCGCACAGCTAGCGATGACAAGTTCTCGGCCCTGCAACCCGTCAGGTGAGTCCCTGCGTTCAAGCATACCATGGCCACCTTGCAGTTGCCTTGCAGCTGACGAATATCCCCCGCCCATGCAGAATGGGGCCGACACACAACCTAGCCCATCGCGCCAGCATCCGTGTGCTCGCCGCGGAGGGCGTCTCGCATCGGGCACTGGCCAGTGCCTTCGGCGGGTCGGTCAGCACCATCCGACGTGTGATCAGCAACTGCCACAGCAGCCGCTCCATAGACAACACGGCAGAAGACCACGACATCGCCCACCGCGAGGGTCTCCTGGCGTTCAACAAGCTTTGGAAGGTGACTCAGAATTCGAACTGGCAGGCGGTGCGTACCCAGCAATGGCCAGCATTCGGCTCAGCTTGATATCGATGTGCATTCGCTATGTAGACTCGGAACTTGAAGAAATCCCAGCCTGAGGTCGTCCTGACGAAAAGGATGGAGAAGGAGCCTGAGAAGCAAGTGGCGGTGGCGGCATCCCAGGTGCGGGTTGCGATGGAAACCGATAGTGGCGCGCGGGTCAGTAGTAACCAGTCCGAGGCTGGCGCACCACTGGCAGTGGCAGGACCGTCCAAAGTTCCTTCGAATCCTCCCTCGCCGCCCGATTTCCTGCGTACATTCCTCACGCGGATCGGCTGTCCAGAGCTCCACGCACCGCTCGCCGGCGCCAACTTTGGCCGTGAGGATCTTCTCAGACTCGCCCGTGCTGGCGTTGACGACGCGCTGCGCTATGCGTACATGGAGCAGCTAGCAGCGCGGCTCAACCTCCCGGAGTTTGGCGTCGCGCAGTGTGTCTGGCTGGTAGAGAATATCAAGCAACTCAAGGTGGACGAGGACTCGGAGTGAAGAAGAACTGAGTGCAAAGGTGTTAGCGAAACCAATTCGACACTGGCAATTGCCTGTATTATGTCCGAATGCGGCGGGCCATCAAACCGCGCAGATTACAGAGACCGAATAGAGGCGATATTTGAGGGACAACTGTATAGTCAATCTTCATACATAGCTGTGGTCATTGTGTTGGAGCAAGGTACTTAGAAGTTACCATTTTTCCAAATCGCCTCGGCATCAAACGCCAAGAGTCTTGGCATACGTATGTGACTTGTGGCTGACAACGGCCTTGGACCGACACTCTTTCCCTCCCCTTCCCGACCCTCCGCTCCTTTCAGCCCCTACCATGGGCCCCCTTCGCTTGGCGCTATTGCTGGCCCTTTTTTCGCGACACGCGTTTGGAGACATCACCGTTTACCATGCCCAGCGCCCCATGACGACAGGCGTGAATAGTGCTGGTCTCCCCAGCCACACTGGCCTCCCCGCCTACGATCCCACAACCCTCAACCCCCCGCCCATCCCCGCAGATGTGATGAAAACCATCCCGGTCAACCTCCTGGTGAGCTGCCCCGCTTTTTTCCGGCGTTCGCTGCTGAGCTCTTTTTGACGTCAGAACTCTGGAACGACGGGGATGTCTATTAAGCAGAAGGGCTCGTTCATGGGGTTCAGCATCGAGATGTCGGTCACGAATCAAGTCTGTGCGTGTTCCGTTCCCTATTTTTATCGCTCGGGGCTGATCGCGTTTGCAGTGGGCAAAAACTCAAGTCTCATTCAAGTCCCCTTCCTCAACCTGATGGCTAACCTCCAACAACGCGCCGGCTCTGTAATGGTTCGCGTGGGAGGAAACACGCAGGAGAGCGCGAAGATGGTCGACAGCCTCCCCAACGGCCGTATCCTCATGAAAGATCTCCAAAACGTCACCGGCACCACACAAACTCCTCCCCTCGACTACACCGCCGACTTGCTCTACCTTATGCGCAATGTCTCCAGCTTCGTCAATGTCCATTGGTTCGTCGGTATTCCGTGGTTTGTCACCAAGCCATTCGACACCGCGATTGTCACTGCTGCAGACCTCATCCTCGGCGATTACCTCCTCGGTCTTCAGGCCAGCAACGAGCCCGATATGTATGTCCTCCATGGGCATCGGCCGCAGAACTATGGCCCATTCGACTACCTCGGCGAGTTCTCCGATTTCTTAGGCCAGGTCGCCACCACCAACGCGGATCCCACCGGGCGTGCAACGAAAAGCCTCATCGGGCCAAATATCGCGACATTCGCTTGGACGCTGGAGCAAGTTTGGGACACAGGCTTCGTCGACACCTACAACGCAAATTTGGCTTACTTGGCTGCCGAAAAGTACGACGTTTTTCTTCTTGTCGATCTGTCCTAATTTTCTTCCGCAGATACCCTGACCAGAATTGCGAAGTAAGCACCGATCGTCGACCCTTTTTTTCTCGTTTCTAATTTACCTCCGAGGCCCGTTTCGGCGATCCCGCCAAGGGCGTCAAACCTCAAGAAGTTCTGCAGAATTACCTCATGCATAGTCGACACAAGGAACTGCTGGGGCAATACCTCAACACCACGATGTATCTGCAGACCAAAAACAAGCCGTTCTTGATGTTCGAGACGAATACTGCTTCGTGTGGTGGTTTCCTTGGGATTTCGGACGCGTTTGTTTCCGCGCTGTGGGGCATCGACTATGCGTTGCAAATGGCCCATTCGAACTTCTCCGGCGCCATGTTCCACTTGGGTGGACAAAGTGTCTACTACAATGTTAGCCTTGCGAAATCGCATTTCCTTAGCTGATTCGCGTTCTAGCCTTTCACAGCCCCACCGACGAACGAAAGTTCTTTCCATGGATGGACCATTGGGCCGGTGCGTTATAGCCAAAGAGTCGAAATTTTGGCTGACTGACAAGATAGATCTACTACTCCGCCCTCATCATGGCCGAGGCGCTGGGCCCAAGCAACAACTCGCAAGTTCTCGACCTCCCTATTCAGGGTCTCTCCGATGCCACCCCCGTATACGCCATCTACGAGAACGGCGTGCCCAAACGCGTCGCCATCGTCAACTACGTCAACGACCCCAGCCATGCCAACGACATCAGCGTCGTCATATCGCTGGCTAACCAGGATGGGACCAAGACCACGCCTGCGAGCGTCAAAGTCAAGTACCTCGCCGCCGCCTCGGTGGTACAGAAGGGCAACATTACCTGGGCGGGACAGACGTTTGGCGGGAACTTTGACAGTGATGGGCGGCCGATGGGGACGGAGGACATCAAGACGGTGACGTGCGACGGAAATGCGAAGACGTGCACGGTGGTGGTGCCCGCGCCCGGCTTTGCGCTGGTCTTCCTGTCGGACGACGCGATGACGGAGGATAAGGGCTTGCCGAGCAAGACGTTTGCGACGACGGCGAAGACCAAGTTCAGGAATACGGGTGCGTTCTCCCGCTTTCGCCTCGCGAATCCGGTATTGATAGCCGTTGGCAGTGACGATCGACCCTGCCGTGCTGGCGACCTCGAACGGGAACAAGTTCTCTGACCACGAGCTGGCGGGGACGAGCAAGCCCCCGAGCGCGGCGCCGAGGACCGCGGGCGTGTCGATCGCGGTTGTCTCGCTATTGGTCGGCGCGGTTGTCGCTCTCCTCGGACGGGCGCTGTAGACCTTGGCTATAGAGGGGTTGCCTCAGGACACTTCGGTGTCGACTTCGCGGCCAGCGGCTTGATGTCGAGCACGCTGGCCGTCTTCCTACGTACCACACGCACATTATAGACCAACGGACCGAGACGGAATCTCTTTATTTGCGTCGCTTTAATATGCTTTCGTTACAATTCCAAGCCTTAGGACTTCTTTTTGTGAAATAGTACCGTAGATCGCAAACTTGAAGAACTGAGGACTGTGCTTACTAGCACGAGGAAGGGCCGATCTGTGTCGCCAAGCTACTTAGTAGAATCCTGGCCAGGATACTTTTGTTACAATCCCCAGTCCCAGCCATCTTTATTCCAATAACCAACTTAAGATCGAGCTCAAAAGTAGACCGGGGGGAGGGGGCTCAGCCGCTCAGGCTGCATGTCGAACATGTAGCTACAGTAGTACTATACTAGGTACGGTCAAATATGACCGAACAGTAGTCCGAATGTAAAGTCCGAATGAAAAGTGATGGGAATCTGTTCGTGACGTCCGAACACCTCATCCTTGGCTAGCCCCTATCAACCATGGTGCTGCGCATCAAACGACGATCGCTGGCTCCTCTTGTTTGCCTCTCTCATCCCATCTCCCATGGCGCACCGAGCTCAACCGTCAAAAAAGCCCAAGAAGAAGAAGGACAAGACAACTACCAAGCGGCCATCAAAGCGGGCCCGGGCCACCGAGGAGGAGGAGGAGGGTGAGACAGAGGTGCCGATACCAGAGAAGCTGGAAAAGAACCCGTGTGTCGCATTCACCTCCATCTAACACAAGTTCTTACGCTACAACAGGTTTGGGGAAGACCCCGACAAGACCACCAAGTTGCTAAGCCTCATAACCGACAACGAGGATTGGAGGAACAAGCTCTTCCCGCCCCCTGGCCAGAACGCGTCAACAGAGAAAGGCGGTGGTCTGTCTGCATCATCCGTGCACTGGATGCTGGCCAAGGCACTCTGGGGCGAAGACCACAATGCCTATATCAACTGGCTTTCGGGACATACAAGAAAAGCCAAGGAACGTGCTGCTGTCGGCGATAGAGTCAAAAATCGGCTGAAAAAGTTTGTCCTCCACTCTCGTTGCTCTTCCCTCATGACAAAGCCCAGGCTCTGCGTCCGTACAAGCGAAATACGAAAGGAGATGAAGCAAACGGGTGCGGGGAACCAGATGACCAAGGAGGAACACGACAATCTCCCTCAAGACGATGAGCGACGCTCTGCGTGGGGTGCGTCATTTTTCATTTACTTCTATCTACTAACTACCATCTACAGGTGCCAAATTGGACACTTTTCCATGGTACTGGACCATGATAGACCTCATTGGGACTCGACCTAACTCGCAACCTGTCGCCATTGGCAACAGCACTTCAACGGATTTCCTGTCAGTCGATGATGGGACTGAGCACTCTGACAGTGCCCCCCCGCCTTTGCACGATTCCGATGACGACGACAATAACAACTCTCGGGACGAGAAGGACTCCGACGATAAGTCATCTGATGACGACGATGACGACGCAGAGATTGTGGAGTTGTCAACGGAGGAACGGAAGCGTAAACGAACTGGGGCACGGCCATCTCCCTTCACACCAGCAAAGGCAGCAAAAGAAGCACAGCCTGTCCCTGCAGGGAAGAAGGGTAAAGCGACGGACTTGGGCACGATGGTAGAGCAGGAAAACGACCTACAACGAAAACAACTCAAGCTGGCCAGTCTCGAAATAACCGCCGATATCGAGCGCAGTAAGGCGAAGGCTATCCATTTGAAGGAGGTGATGGGCCGGCAGATGGAAATGAAGCTGGAGCGGGAGAAGCGGAAGTCGACAAATGAGAAATTTGAGCGGAAAATGAAGTTGTTGGAGGCGGAGAGGAAATTCGGGCCCGATGCAGTGCGGAGTATGTTCTCCGAAGAATATAAGCAGGTCGACATCGACACCTCGGGCTACAGCTCCACGTCCAACTCTCTCCATGGTTCGCCAGGCCCGCCGCGCCTCTCATTTGGCTTTCCCTCCGGATCGGAGGGTGGACCAGAGACCCAAGATATGTTTTCTTCCATGAATGGGTCATTGGGACTGTACAACTCTGGGGGGAAATTGGATGTAGTAAACATATATTTACTCAAAACCTAGTCGTTGTCTACGAGTACTTATCGCAGCCAGTAAATAGTCTTTCAATTCATTTCGCTTCGCTTTTCCTGCTGCAAGTCGTGCCCGTCGTCCAGCTGCTGTGCCCTCCATCTCAAGTGGTACTTCGGAGTCTGCGTTCTCTTGGGTACCAACATTTCGCCGGTGTCGTATATCAGCTGGAATGAAGGGATCGTTTTCGGGCGCAGTATATTCAGGATTTAATGGACGTTTTGCTCGAAGCCTTGCCTCGTGGAGAAGTGCGAAGTTATGAACCACGACACAGGCCATGATCCATTGGGTTGCATATTTGTGGTCGTGACGGTTGTTGATAGTAAGACGCAGTCCTTTGAGTGACTGTAGCCGGCCTTTCAAAAACCCAATGCAATGCTCGGAGCGGACTCGAACGTAAGACACATGGTTGTTGAAGATAGTGTTGTCCGGGTCTTCACGTTCGGGGCTCTTGAATGGGGCAGTCAGCCAACGGGATATCGGATAAGCGGCATCTCCCCAAATGAATTCTCCAGACAAAAGGAGTGTGGTGAGCTCTTGGTAGACCCGAGTTCCTGTCCAGGCAGTTGCATCGTGGGTACTGCCAACGTAGCCATACCCAATGTCAATTATTTGAAGGTTTGGAAGGTTGACCACCTGAGCCAATGGATTGAGTTAACAAAGAAAAAGGAAAACTTGACTCACTTGGAGGTTCATGGAGTAGTTCATTTTCCGGTCAAAATAGCTTGGTCCATACCAGTTTGGACGTGTGGCTAATGGAATCAGGGTTCCATCGACCATGCACCAGCCGTCTCTCCACTCTCGGCAGCCTGATGTCTTCTCAACCCATATCTTCGCTTCCTCCTTCTCCACTGCAGTCGGCATACGGACATATTCAGCCAACATTCCACTGCCTAAAATAGCAGTTATAACGCGCCGCGTACAACGAGGCACTGTTCCCTTCCCCAGTCCCGACCACCATGAGACAGCCTGAAGTGATACTCCATTGCCATTATGCCCAAATTGGTAGAGTGCCACGGCGAGCTGGATTTCGACAGGAGTCTGGCCATTATTGGAGTTATTGGTAAAGACACTATGGCCCTCGATTTTCCGAAGGAGTTTGTCGAAGGTTGTGGGCCAGATTCGAAGCTCACCACGGAATGCCAGCTTATCGTTGTGTTTCCACGACTTGAGACATGTTTTGAGACGTGATTCTGGCCGAATAAGTGGTATGCGTGGCACACTGTAGCGCTGGGCATACATATCTTGAATCTGCCTTTCTACCCAGTTGAGAACTCGAGAAGAGGAGATTGGTGTGCGTCGATATCCTCGAGGAATGGGTAGGTCATCATCTCGCAAGTCAAATGAATCGACACTGGCAGTTGATGATGTGCCGCTAGAACTTTGTGAAGAATCCGCACTCAGGCTTGAGTCTGTATCAGAGTCGCTGGAGATCGTTGCATCGTTTTCGAAGTCTTCAAATTCACTGTCCATATCGAACATAATAGACTGTCGGGGATGAGTGGGGAGCCCAAATGACAGTCGATTGAGACGCTGCAATTGAGCAGCAGTCAGGCCAAGAGAGCGGAGACGGCGTAAACGCCTTGCTCGTAGGTGATACCGGTGGAGTGCCCATGAGGTTGCTGACTTGCGTAGATGTGTAGCACGTCCATGGCGGGAGTCAATCCTGGCCATAGGGAATAAGTGCTGGGTCACAGCACGTCACAATTTACTCAGGAGACCACTGCGCAAGCAATTAGCCCAAGGCACTGGCATTTGGTCTTGCGTTCGGATGTCTATTCGTGGTGCGGTCAAAGTTGACATCCGAACGGATGTCCGAATACATGATGTAATCTACTCATTCGGACCTGCCGTTCGGGCATCGTTCGGATGCCTGTTCGACCATATTTGACCGTACCTACTATTACTACGGCACACAGCAGCTGTCAGTGGCCGCCGAGAGTGCTGTTGCACTGCAGGCAGAGTTGAGGCAGAGGGTCCGTAGTACAGAACAACCTAAGACTAGTACTTGGACTGCAAACTACTTAAATGCAATGTACTTCACCTATCCTGCCCACTTATCCCCTCTAGTTAGAGCCTCAGGGGGGGGTGAAGCTCTAACTAGAGGGGATAATTCAAATCCGCTGTGTTTCCTTAAACTTGCTTCTGGATGTTAGTGGACAGGATGTTAGTAGACGGGAGGTCTTTGGGGGGAAGGGGGGAGGCCGGCTGGGGGGAGCGGGCTGGGGAGTGGGCTGGCCGGAGCATCAATGGATGATCACCGGATGACACGATGACAGCGAAGGTCATCATCGCTGTCTGCTGTCAAGTCCCGCCCTCTGCCCGCCTCCCCGCCCTCATCCCATCACTGCCATCAAAGTTGCTGATGGCTGTTGATCTTGGGGTCGCCCATGGTCCCGCCCACCGTCCCGATCTGATGGCGCATCAAAAAACGAAAGTTGTGCAGAATGCTTTGCTGATACCAAATGTACAAACCGTTTATCAATAGCTTGAGTAGTTAAGGAGATATAAGCCTTTTGATCTAGTGATGGATGAGTCTGAAGTTAGTAGACATCTTTTATAAGGGATATTTGGAGGATTTTAGTATGGTATGAGTATGTAAAGCAATTTGGGTGTCAATACCAGTGTCAGGGGAGGTCATAGGTAGGTAATAATGATCCCAGCTGTAAGGATTCTCTCTAATAACTTATCCTGTCCACTAACTTCAAGTTATGTTAGTAAGGCTAACTATGTACAGTATGCACATGTAGGTCCTTGAACATATATGTAAGTCTCTATAGAAGGTGTTGGGACTGTCAGTAGAGGATATGAGATATAGTTGGCAAGAGGGGGGGCTTACAATCTATATTGAATATGCACTGACCTCCTTGGTATGGAAGTCAGTAGATATCTTCCACCACTTTGGTTGAGGAAATCACTGGTAGAGCCACTATAGGCTATAGAAGGTCTACTGGTATATTCTTTATGGCACTAAAGTCCTGGATTAATGATAGTTTAGTTGACTATGTCCACTAACTTCTGTGCACAGAAGTTAGTAGACATATTTTATAACTTTGGTTGAGGAAGCAGCTGAAAAGGCACAGGTGTGAGATATGTGGCCATAGAGGGTCTACTTGGAACACTTTTATCCTGAAGACATCTTAAATTCATTATAATATAGTTGAGCATGTCTACTAACTTCTGTGCCTGTGAAGTTAGTAGACATCTTCAGCCACTTTGGTTGAGAACACAGCTAGTGGAGGGATATATGACATGACAGGCTATAGAAGGTCCATTGGCATTTTGTTTATGCTACTGAAGTCCCAAATTGATGATAGTTTAGTTGACCATGTCCACTAACTTCCCTGTACAGAAGTTAGTAGACATCTTCCACCACTTTGGTTGAGAAAGCAGCAGGTGGAGAGGCATGTGACATGATAACTTATGGAAGGTCTACTGGCAGCATATCCCTTATACCACTGAAGTCCACATAATAATATAGCTAAGCATGTCTGCTAACTTCTGTGTCAGGGAAGTTAGTAGACATCTTTCACCACTTTAGTTGAAAAAGCAGGCAGGGGGAGACATGTGTCATGCAAGGCCATAGGAGGTCTACTAGAATGCCTTTTATCCCGCTGAAGTCCTGTATTTGTGATAGTGTAGTTGACCATGTCCACTAACTTCTCTGGCACAGAAGTTAGTGGACAGGGAGTTGGTGGATATCTTCCACCCCTTTAGTTGATAAAGCAGCTGGGCTGAGGGGAGAACATGTGTCATGTCATGTCTGGCAATGGAAAGCTCACTAGGATCTCTTCCATGCTATAAAGTTATAATAGTTACATTGTTGGAAGTTAGTGGACACCTTCAGTTTGTAAGGCCCCCCCCCCTTGCGATCCAGGATGTCTACTAACTCCCCTAGAGAGGAGATTCGTAGATATCTTCCCTGTGTTGGTTGAGAAGGTAGCTAGGAGGATATACAGGCCATGGGAAGTCTCCTGGTAGGTCTTTTATGCAGCTAAAGCCCTACATGCCATATCTACTAATGCATAGAAGTTAGTGGTCCTAATCCACTACTCTAGTCAAGGGGCATCTGGGGCAAAAATATGTGACATGTTAGGCTATGGAATATCTACTAGCATGTTTTGCATGCATCCTATAGCTGGCAGTAAACTAGGCCAGTAAACTTACTCCAGGGCCTTGCAGAATGCATGGTTACTACTGCTATAGGTTCATTACCAATTACCTGACCAAGTTGAATGACTTGGGAGGCCATTTTATTAGCTACTCAATAGTCTAAATGCATGTCACAGGTCTTTAATCTAACATAACAATCATGTATACCTAATGCTCTGAAGTTAGTAGACAAGAATTGAACACACTATAACTCAGAAACCGCTGCATCAATTCAAATGAATGAAGTATGTGATGAAATATCTCATCTAGTAATGTATTTATAGATGTTCCCCTGAGACCTCTTAGGGATATATGTAGCCAAATACTTAGAGATCATATATAACTATGCTATAACTTTAGGAGTATTCAATTAATTATGATGAATGACTCATAAGAGGACCCTACTGTTCAGTACTGTGGTTTGATATATATCTCCTTGACTTATCAGCTTGCATAAGTGGTTAAATATTAGGAGACTATCAATCAATATGTTATAAGGGAAGAAGGATTGGGTTTGCAAGCATAAATGAAGTCTTGGCAGAACTACTCTGTCAATTGCTTCAATTGTACCTGTTGTCTTCGACATCTCTCTTGTTCTAAAGCATTGAAATATAGAAAATATTGCTGCTCTACCATCAAAGAGCCATCTCTAAGCTTGCCTATAGTCCAAATGAACAGACCATATGCTGTAGGACTTCATTCTATATATTCCTATAAGTTTACAACAAGTTTCCATGGATGGGATGTGAGTAAACAGTCCATCAGTAGTTTGTGGGTCCCATCACAGGTAAATGATACTAATGGATCTCAGTGTAAAGTACATGGATGTGCCTCCTGAAGCAATCATCCTGAAGATATGACCCTGTATATGATACTAGACCATCAATACCCTTCACCTCTTTAACCTTCCCTATGATATTTTCATCTTTCCTGGTGCTGACAGACAGATTCTGATGGCAAATTTATTTTGAGCTCAGTTCTTGGCAGATCCTGATGGGTGCGGGGTCTATGGACTCAGGGCAGCTCCCTTAATGATTCCAATCTATGTCTGATATCTCAATTATATAGAGTGCAAGGCAAATACCTGTGCAACAGGGGCTACCATATCTGCTGTTCCTGATATGCTGGGACAGAAATCTCTAAAGTTTCTGGAAGCTACATACTCCCTGACACCGAATCTATAGGTATTTCCATACAATATAAAGTGTTGATAGCTTGGTGCATCCATCATATTTGGGTTAGATAACATAGATTATGATATTGTGAAAGATCCATGACAGTTGGGAGGCTGACCTGAGCGCCGAATATGTTCATTTCCAGTATATCTAACAGTCTGCAATAAAGTTTTGGTCAATATCTCAAATTTTTGACATGTCATTTTTGCAATTGAGACCAGGCTCAATTGCACTTAAGGACGAACCTGCCTTCGACCTGATATTCAGACACATTTCAGGACAACAACTATTTATTGTTTGGGATCCTAGTAGGTGCTCAGAAACACTTCTCTCATCTAATTTACTTCAGATACATTGCCTTGAAACCCAATTTTATGCTACATGTCTACTAACTTCTGCCTGACACGGTCAGAAATTGACATATACATCTATTATGGCATGCATATCTGGATCTACTGGAAGCTGTACACTCCCTGACACCAGATCTATAAGTATCTTTATCCAATATGAAGTGTTGATAGCTTGGTGCATTCATCATATTTGGGATAGATAACATAGATTATGATATTGTGAAAGATCCATGATAGTTGAGAGGCTGACCTGAGCGCCGAATATGTTCATTTCCAGTATACCTAACAGTCTGTAATCAAATTTTGGTCCATATCTTAAATTTTTGACATGTCATTTTTGCAATTGAGACCAGGCTCAATTGCACTTAAGGACGAACCTGCCTTCGACCTGATATTCAGACACATTTCAGGACAACAACTATTCATTGTTTGGGATCCTAGTAGGTGCTCAGAAACACTTCTCTCATCTAATTTACTTCAGATACATTGCCTTGAAACCCAATTTTATGCTATATGTCTATTAACTTCTGCCAGAAATTAGCATGTATATCTATCATCCCTCTCAATTTGGGCCTATAAATCACAGGAAATGTCTTTCATATGTTACTACATGCATATACAGTACTTATATGCTCAGTCTATATAGTAGAATGGGTCTAATAAATTAGAGTCTACTAACTTTTAGGTAAGAAGTTAATAGACATATTTGCTATTTGTGTATATGATGGACCCTATCTTATATGTATAACATGCTCTCTTAAGACATTTATGCATATAGATATAGCCTGAATGGCAACTGAGGGCTGAATTTCTACTGTCTCAGTCATTATCTTCTCTAACTCATGCTCTCTACTAACTGCCATTCTGGCACAATATTGAGTCCTTTCAGTTAAGTAGTGCTCTAAATAGTACAAAAATATGCTCCCTCATAATACTCACCTAAATCTTATATGTAGCTAGCCTCTGGGAGCCCAGTCTGACCTACACTAACAGAGTAGATAGTACAAGTGTTGAGTGCCAAATGATCAATTATAGCCAACATGAGTGTCTAATTTGAGCTCATCATAGCCAGTACTGCAATAGGTCATAAGGAAGGAGGGGAGGAGAGGGGTGAGAGCGCAGGGGAGAGAACAGGAGGGGGAGGGGGAGGGGGAGTAGATCATCAGATATCTGTTACTGAGCATTGATAGCCTATATGCCATTGAGGACACATACTATTTACCACCCTCAAGCTACTGATGTGCTTTGAGATACCTGCTATCACAGAAGATCATAGAGAGATATTATAGTTTGAAGATGTCTACTAACTTTCCTGACATGGGCTATATATGTCTTTGATTGACCTCTTGAAGAATGTGCAAGGTGCCTGGTAGACTTTGTATGATATGAGTTGATACATATATTGTGTCAAAGTCAGCCAGACTGCTGTTCTAATTAGAGTAGTGAAAGATGTCTACTAACTTCTGTGCAGGGAAGTTAGTAGACATGGTTATCTAAATTACATTAATCTAGGACGTTAGTAATATGGAAAACGTGTCAGTTGACATTCTAGAGCCCATTACACCATATGACTCTTCACCTACCACTTTTTTAACCAGTGTGAAAAATGTCTACTAACTTCTTTGCAGGGAAGTTAGTAGACATGTTAACTAAATTACATTAATCTAGGACTTTGGTAATATAAAAAAACATGGCAGTAGACCTTCCATAGCCTGTTATGCCATATGACTCTCTACCTACTACTTTTTTAACCAGTGTGAAATATGTCTACTAACTTCTGTGCTGGGAAGTTAGTAGACATGGTTAACTAAACTATCATCAATTCAGGACTTCAATGGTAGAAAAAACATGTCAGTAGACCTTCTATAGCCTATCATGCCACATGTCTTTCAACCTGTTGCTTTCTCAACCAACAGTGAAAGATGTCTACTAACTTCTGGTCAGGGAAGTTAGTAGATATGGTTAAATATACTATCATGAACTCTTGACTTGAAAGTATAAGAGACATCCCAGTAGACCCTCCCTGGCCTCACATACTACTAGTAGATTTGTGCCCTTTAGATGCTTTCTCAACCAAAGTGATCAAAGATGTCTACTAACTTCGCAGGCATAGAAGTTAGTAGACATGCTTAACAATACTATTATGAATCTAGGACTTCTCCAGGATACAAATCGTCCAAGGAAACCTTCCATAGCCTCACATGTCACACTTGGACCCTTTGGCTGGTTCCTGAACCAAAGTGATGACAGATGTCTATTAACTTCTGTGCTAGGGAAGTTAGTAGGCATGATCAACTATATTGTTATAAGTGCAGAACTTCAGCAGGACAAAAGGCATCCCAGTATACCTCCCATGGCCTCAAAAGCCATCCTTGTTCCCCCTATCTGTTTTCTTATCCCAAGTGATCAAAGATGTCTACTAACTTCACAGGCAAGGAAGTTAGTAGACATAGTGAACTATAATAAATCCAGGACTTCAGCAGGACAAGAGACATTCTAGTAGATATTTCATGGCCTGTGTGTCCCCCCCAGTAACCTTCCCAACCAAACTGGTGGAAGATATCTACTGACTTCCATACTAAGGAGGTTAGTGCACATGATGGATTGTAAGCCCCCCCTCTTGCCAACTATGTCTCATATCCTCTACTGACAGTCCCAACACCTTCTACAGAGACTTACTTATATGTTCAAGGACCTACATGTGCATACTGTACCTAGTTAGCCCTTACTAACATAACTTGAAGTTAGTGGACAGGATAAGTTATTAGAGAGGACCCTTACAGCTAGGATCATCATTACCTACCTATAACCTCCCCTGACACTGGTATTGACACCCAAATTGCCCTACATACTCATACCATACTAAAATCCTCCAAATATCCCTTATAAAAGCTGTCTACTAACTTCAGACTCATCCATCACTAGATCAAAAGGCTTATATCTCCTTAACTACTCAAGCTATTGATAAACGGTTTGTACATTTGGTATCAGCAAAGCATTCTGCACAACTTTCGTTTTTTGATGCGCCATCAGATCGGGACGGTGGGCGGGACCATGGGCGACCCCAAGATCAACAGCCATCAGCAACTTTGATGGCAGTGATGGGATGAGGGCGGGGGAGGCGGGCAGAGGGCGGGACTTGACAGCAGACAGCGATGATGACCTTCGCTGTCATCGTGTCATCCGGTGATCATCCATTGATGCTCCGGCCAGCCCACTCCCCAGCCCGCTCCCCCCAGCCGGCCTCCCCCTTCCCCCAAAGACCTCCCGTCTACTAACATCCTGTCCACTAACATCCAGAAGCAAGTTTAAGGAAACACAGCGGATTTGAATTATCCCCTCTAGTTAGAGCTTCCACCCCCCCCCTGAGGCTCTAACTAGAGGGGATAAGTGGGCAGGATAGGTGATGTACTTCGTGCAGACGAGGCCCCTATGAACTTGTAGCACCGCCCTCTAGAAGCGTCTCTCCCTTCGATTCCGCTACATGGACCGATATCCAGGCAGGCGTAGCCTCTGTCGTCGGCCTTGAGCAACTGCCCGTGGCGCGTTGGAAGACACTGAACATTGCGCAAGATACTTGCCAAGTGGAAAGATAAGGCCACGAAACGGAGGGAAGACGGCCAAGACGTACACGCGAAGGTGATGGCCATCGCCCCGAAGGCGTCCTCCATCTCCACCAGACACCACCAGGCGCCGCGGTCGATGCCCGGGACCAGACCCCGGCTGTCGCAGGTGCGGAGCGTGTCCGAGTACGCGAGCGTGTGGAGGACGGCGCACGCGGCGAAGAGCAGCCAAGGGCCGACGAGGGCGGCGCCGAGGACGACGAAGTGCCGGCCGGCCCGGGAGGACGCGCGGGCGGGGTCGGGGCGCCGGGTGAGCGGGATTCTGGCGGCGTTAGTTAGTGAGGGGACGTGGGGGTGTGCTTACAGGTGAGAGAGCAGGAGGACGGTGTAGGCCGACAAGAGCAGTCCGATCGGCCGCGGCGACACTGCCCAAGGCTGAATGCACGGTAAATTCCCGACGCCGGAGGAGCACACACTGGTGTTTGAGCTGGGCCCGGGGCGGGCGGTCGCCCTCGAGAGAAGGAAGACGGCGTAGACGCCCGCGAGCGCCCGCGCGACCTCTGTGGCATCTTAGCTGTCGCCGGTGAGGCTTAAGGCGCTCACCATGGTAGAGCCCCGGGGTGCGCCCAAGCTTGCGGTCAAATCGCGGGGAGTCCATTGAAGGGGGAGTCAAGAGGCTGCGATAGTCATCGAGAATGCGGGTCAAATGCGGGCGGAAGGACAGTACCGGCTCGACGGCGGCACTCACATCTACTTATTATTAACCTCAATTCACGATGTCGTCCACCTTGCCATTGAATATTGAAGCTCCATCCCACACTGCTGTCTACCACCCAGGAACAGACTACTATCTGTTCTCTGCGTGGCGATACAGTACTCAAGGGGTAGGAAAACAGACGCAATGGGTCATAGGCAAACGTAGAGGTAGAAATACAGCGAGACATTACAGTTGTGGTCGCGGGGGTAGCGTAAGGGGAAAGATTAGGACTAGTAGGCCACGGTCCGTACGATACGCGTCGACTTTTGTTGTTGGTTTGTGTTGGCAAAGACTAGTCTGAGTCCGACTCGGAATCCTCAGCGTCTGAGCCGTAATAGCATTCTGCACCAGGCGGTCAGCTGGGAAACACACTGCGCGCCGGCCACACACCTTTGGCGTTCAGCTTGGGCCGCGCGCGGTAGCCGGGGACGGGCAGCGGGACGCGGAAGCTCATCGCGGTCGGGGCGGTGACGGGGTCGATAGACTGCGAGCGTGTTGCTGTCGCGGCGGCGAGCGCGCGGGCATGGGCGATGTTCCCATAGCCGCCGCGTCCAACGGGCTGGGGAACGGAAATGAGTGCACGAAGAGCAATGGGGAGGGACGCACTATGGCCATCCGCCTCGCGTCAGCATGGGCCCGCAGAATCTCCTGCTCCTGGTTGGAGTAGGCCCATTCGTGCGAGCTATGCGCTTGGGCAGCAGCTATGTTTCCATATCCACCTCGCCCAGTCGAATGAGAGCCACGGGTGCGTTGGCGGCCGCGCGGCCACGGGAATTCTTCGTCTTGCTGCTGCTGTGCGTTGTCGTTGAAGTAGTTCCCCAATCCTGCCCGTCCAGCGAAGTGCTATCCAATATGAGCGCGGATATGACGGGCGGCGCGGGGACGTACACCGCGGGATGGTTCTGGGGGGAAAGAAAAGGGAAATGCCGTCAACACATGGCTCGCGATAAGGGAGAAGAGAAGCGGCGTTGGAGCGAAAGATAAGGAAATGCGCTGGCTCTTGCTTTCGACCACCACCACTCACCGATTGCCGTGGCTGGCGCGGCCGACTCTCGCCCCTCGTTTCCCTCGCCCTCCTGACGGCCGCGCAAGCTCGCACTCAACGCCGAGATCCGCCCCGTAAACGACCTATTATTCGTCGCGCTCTGCTGGTGCTGCTGGTGGGGCATGTCCACTGGAGTTGGGGTGCGACGCGACGGGGGAGGCGGACAAGATGGAAGGGGGACGCAAGGGAAAAGGGTGCTGCTTTTCGCTCATTCGCCGTAATGGATGGTGTCGTTGGCGTGATCACATCCACCCACCCATAAACGTGCACCGCCTGACCTTACCCGCCGCTTGTTCTCGCCTTCTCCCGGATCTCAGACCCCCCACGACATGACACACTCGACACACTCGACACTCAGGGCCAGCCTAGCGTAGCACCTCTTCGTATATTGCGGCCCCTCCCGCAAAAGCCAAGCCACAAACCGCCAGCTATCAGTCCATCTGCGCTATTCCTGTCGCAAGAATGGCTCGATATTGTCCACTCGCGGTTAATTCATACATCATTCTATTCCCCACGTTCTCTGGGCCCACAAGCCAAACGTGTCTCACTTGTCGCGTCACACATGGGCTCATGGCTACATGGAGATCGTGGCGCTTCCCGTTTCTCACTGTAATTGCTCCCTCTTCCATCCGTGCCTTCTGCACGTTGGCCGCGGCGTACAGCATACACATCTGCGGTCCAGAGGGCGATGAGCATCGACAGTGGGGACGGGACTACTGCGCAGAGCAGGCGTGCCCTTGGCGCAGGAGCTTCTCCGCATGCGCACATTTCCGATTACTGACCCGCCCGGCGCCTCGTGACCGCTGCGACTGGCAAGGTCCGCATTCATCTCCCCCTATCCTTCAGATTGTGCAATAATAAATGGTCTATACTAGAAATCTCAGCCAATTCGCTGTTTATATCTGCACACAGGTCCAAGGCAATGTAGAACGGCCTGCTTTGCGCATATCTTTGTGCTTGAACGCATCGTTCCCCGCCCGCTGTCAACGTGAATGACGAGAAACTTGAAGAAGGGCCGCTAACTGGCGCATACCGGCAGGGGAAGACAGTGTCGTGGGCGAGATCCGTTGTTCATTAGTCAGACGAATTGTGGTCATTGTCCTGCCACTGGCAAATGCGCGAAGAGGGAATGGGTATATGCTACGGTATATGCCGCCCTCGGAGGGCTGCCGGACCCAGTGCCCAACCGTTGGCGACCTCTCGTGTCTTGGCTCTGCGGTCTACGGTAGTCTACCATCCTAGTACTCGGTCAATAAGTTCAACTTGAAGTAAGTAGTAGTAAGTTGTCTGAAAAACCTTCAAGTTAGTAGTAGTGAGCAACTTGAAAAATCTTTCATTGATCTTTCACCTACGCGACTGGCAACTAATAATAGGTGGGGAGAATGGTACAGACTCGGATAGTTCTTGCCTTCATATCTTTAGCTCACAGCTAATTATTACCCGCTCTTCTAAGTTCTATACCTCCATGCTTCAAGTTGAATTCTTGCCCCGGCCAGCAGTCGCAACAGCGCAACAAGATAGATCCAGGTTCACACACTCCGAGTCGTTCGATAGTAATAAACCGCATTAATTCCTTCCTGACGACACACATAATACCCAAGTTTAAAAATAGCCCTTCTACGCGGGAATAGTCTTGTTGAACCAATCGACCGCCTGCTGGAATGCCTTCTCGAACGCCTCCTTGACCTCCGGGTACATCAGGAAATTAACCAATCCTTCCGGAGGCCTTGCAAGGCCTTCTGAAAGGTCTTTTAGCCTTTGATGTTTTGGCCAAGACTTCTGTGGTCCTTTTAGGCCTTCTCAGCCTTTCAAAGTACTTCCGAAATCCAAATTGTTGATATGTTGAGTTAATCGGAAGAACTTGCGTCATCATCAAACTTCTTCGGCGAAATAACGCCTCTTCTTCCCACCCTTTTTTCTTCTTCCCCCACCATCTCCCCGCTATCCTCTTGTCGTCTGGTCCCCTCCGCAAGTTTGCTGCAAGTCATACCGAATGAAACAAGGCACACAAAGACCATTCAAGTACGCAAGACTGCCTGCAAGCACCTCAAGGCATTCCCAGCAAGCCGCGCCAGCAAGCCGCGATCGCGCGAGGAGCAGCAAGCGCTGGCCAGTGACCTCTGCAACTCGCTGCTCCGGACTGACCTCACCCATCAAGTCCTTCCATTCCCCCCACATGCCAGCGCCACTTCCGTCCCGTCCCATCCCACTCTGCACCAATGCACCAACTCCTCGCCGCTCGGTTCTCGAACATGCGACTAAGCGAATGCGAAGACAAATGCAAATGACCGCGGTGACTGGGATGGTGTCTGCTCGGCATGGCAGCATTCAACTTCACGGAACTCGATGCGGGGCCTGCGCTGGTTCATTTGCGGCAGGTACAAGGGGACCGGGGACCCGAAGACTGCCCGGCGCCGCTGCAGGAACATGACCTGTGCCCACAACTCGTCGGCGGGGACAGCCATGAGCGGTAGCGGCGGCTATGACTCGGACCGGTAGTGGGTGGAGTGTTGTTCGTCTACTTCATGTTGTTTTATTACTAGATTAATACAAGTTGTGGTTTACTGCACCTGAATATGTGAACTGTGAGTCCTTTTGAGTGCCTTTTGGCCAGCCTTATTGATGCCTTTTGGGCCAAAAGGTCTTTTGAAAGGATGGACCTAGCTTTTGGAAGGCCTGAAAGACCTTTTGCCTTTTGGGGACTTTTTATGACCTTTTGGTCCTTTTAGACCTTTTAGACCTTTTGAAAGGCCCAAAAGGTTTTTGGTGAATTTCCTGATGTACTGCAGCGCAGGACGGGCGCCAAATCCATGCGCTGGAAAGAGTAAGTGCGATTCAGTTGGCAGCATCGTCTTGTCTTACCGGTCCCTAGCGACACAGTCAACAGGGCGCACAAGGACCCGAAAAGACACACACCAGGGTACACCTTGATTTCGTACTCCACAAACGTGTCCTTCCCCTCCCGCGCCTTGTACAGCGCCTCGATCTGGTCCAGCCGGGCTTTCGAGATGGCGAAATCGTCTAGAGACACGTTAGCACCAGAAACCTGCGCCATGACAAGGCGACCTTCTGCCGCGATCCAGGCAGTGGGCGCCTTTATACCGAGAATTTGCGCGTCGCTGGGCGGTGACGGGTGGGCGATGACGATGCTGCTGAAGAGGGCGGGGTGCTGCGAGCCGAGAATGAGGGAAACGCCGCCACCGAAGCAGTAACTTGGGCCATGAGACGACTGTCGGACCGGCGAAATAGCGACACACCCAATAGCCCCCAGGTTCTCGTACTTCTTCGATTCCTGCAGCTTGGTGATGAACTAGAAATTTAAGAAAAGCATCAGTTTGTTAGTGGGAAGGTAGAAGGCGACGCACGGTAAGCGCCCTTGCCGCGCCTTGGGGTGGGCGGTTGCGGACACGGGCGGGCGGCCCGCAAAGAGGTCGGGCACGTACAGTGTTGGCCCTAAGGGCTTAAAAACCGACCTCCCCAGGGTCTAAGGGCTGAGAGCTTAGGCTAAGGCTTAGGGCTTAGAAGGCTTAGCCGGGTTTAAGGGCTTAGAGTCCCAAAAAGAAATTTTTGATGGCTCTAATTTTTGGCAATATACATGCAAACTATGGTTGGTAGACCTCCGAATTGTCAATTTCGATAGCTCCTGAATCAAGAGTATCATCCTCCGCCTCCAATTCTGCCATCACACGCATGTAGCGCTCGTCGTCTGCCCGCGCACGAGCCGAAACCCTCGTGCGCAGTTGCTCCTTTGGCGTGCTGGTCCCAAATAATTTCTCGAGCGACATGGAAGACAAGCAGAAGAAGGGAAGATGGGCCGATAATAATCGATGAAGTTTTTGTCAGCCGCGTCGATCATATGTCATACATATTACGCGATCTCTAAGCCCTCTAAGCCCTCCGAAGATTTTCGGCCAATATCTAAGCCTTAGCCTAAGCCTTAGTCTAAGGCCTTAGGGCTTAGACACCCTCTAAGCCTTAGAGCTTAGAGCCAACACTGGGCACGTAGACATCACATGCGAGCGCTTTCGCAAAGCTGTCCGCGAGGATGCGCGCGTTCTGCCGGGGTCAGCCAGGCGCAACGCAACAGCGAGAGTGGAGACGGACGTTGAGCGGCAGCCCGAATATATCCGTCAGCAGGATGATTGCCCGTGTGGAGGAGGCGCCTTGCGGGCCCGGGCCCGGGGAGAAGTACGCTGCGTTGTCGATTTCGGAGATCGTGCCGGTCGGTGTGCCCTCCAAGGCCGCGCCCGGTGAAGCAATTGGGGGCACGACATCGTCCGTCGTTGGTCCGTCGTGGAGGGGGGAGGGAAAGGAGGACAACGTGATCATATGTAGCGAGGAAGGCGATTATGTCAGCACCGAAAATCTCACTTTGGACCCGAACGCCGACTCCGAAGATGGCTTCAGCGCAAAATACGGCTTGGGAGCTGGCAAAACAAGTTTGGTGGCCCAGTGCCGAAATCCATCGTCTTCGAAAACTGCTGGACGAAAACCACTTCTGAAGACTTCAGAAGCTTACTACACCGCAGATTCCAGAACATGGTTCACGAGCCCAACCAGTCTCGTCGTAATCGTTGTTGGGCAGCACTGACTGAGGAATGTTCAATGGGGTCTAATGCAGCTTCTGCGGGCAAAGCATAGCAATGAGTAGGGAATGGCACGGAATCCGGATAGGTGCAATCCATGCAGATACACAGATTTTATCTGTATTACCTTGATTCACCTTGCTTTGCAAGGTCCCCCACCCTGACAATTCCCATCAAATTTACCATCAAAACTGCTGTTTCCAAATAGTACGAAATAAATGATGTCACCCTCTTCTTGCAACACTGAGTACTACTTAAGCACCCTTCCTTCTTACATCTATAGCAATGTCTGTCAGGGGAACCCCTGCTTCGGCCTCCTTCGGACCGTCTGAGCGCATCCGAGGCACATCCAACCGCCGACCGGTGCCCCCTCGGACGCTCCGACCCACCCCGACCATCGTCCACGGCCTCCTTCGCCCGTACAATCACCGATCCATCAAGACCCTCCCAACGATCACCTTGGGACAGAGCCTGTGACGCCGCTCAGGCCTTCTGTGCTCTACGTCGGCAGTTACAGACGACCAGTATATAGTTGGCT